TTTTGTTACATATGAATATCCAGTTTTCCAAGCACCATTTGTTGAAGAGGCTATCTTTTCTCCCATGTGTGTTTTTGGCACCTTTGTATATATGAGGATTTGTTTCTGTGTCTTCTGTTCTGTACCATTGGTCTATGTGTCTGTTTTTGTGCCAATACCATCCCATTTTTGTTACTATAGGTCTTTAGTATAATTTAAGGCCTGGTATTGTGATGGCTCCTGATTCACTTTTCTTGCTGAGGATTGCTTTGGCTATTCTGGGTCTCTTATTTTTCCAAATGAGTTTTATGACTGCTTTTTCTATCTCTATGAAGAACATCGCCGGAACCTTAATAGGAATTGCATTAAATCTGTATAACACTTTTGGTAGCATGGCCATTTTGACAATATTAATTTTGCCTATCCAAGAGTATGGGAGATAGTTCCATCTTCTAATGTCTTCTTCAATTTCTTTCTTTAAAGTTTCTGTAGTATTCATTGTAGATGTCTTTTACCTCTTCTGTTAGATTGATTCCCAAATATTTTATTTTTTTGAGGAACTTGTGAATGGGCAGTTTTCCTAAATTATTTTTCAGTTGATTCATCACTGATGTATAGAAACACAATTGATTTATGGGTGATATGATTGGTCAACAAATATATGAAAAAATGTTCAACAACTCTAGCAATTAGAATACAAATTAAAAGTACTCTAAGGGTTTGAATAGCAATTATCAAGAATATAAATTAACAATAGGACTAGGGCTATGGCCCAATGGTAAAGCACTTGCCTACCATAGGTGAGGCACTGGGTTCTATCCACAGCACCACATAAACAAATAAACGTATTGTGTCCATCTACAACTAAAACAATATATAAAAAAGAATATAAGTAACAATAAATGTTGCCGAGGATGTGGGGAAAAATGTTCACTCATAGATTACTAGTGGGACTGCAAATTGGTGCAACCATTCTAGAAAGCAGCATTGACATTCTGAATGGAACTATTATTTGACCCAGTTATACCACTCCTTGGTATACACCCAAAGGACTTGAAATCAGTATACTACAATGATGCAGCCACATAAATATTTATAGCAGCTCAATTCACAATAGCTAAGCTATGGAACCAGCATAGATGCCCTTCAACATATGAATGGATAAAGATAATTACACACACACACACACACACACACACTCACACAGAAATATTACTCTGCCACAAAGAAGAATGAAATTAATGCATTTACTGGTAAATGGATGGAACTGGAGAATATCACACTAAGTGAAATAAGCCAATCCCCAAAAAACAAAGGCCAACTGTTCTCTCTGATATGTGGATGCTAACACACAATAAGGGGAAGGAGAGGATATTAGAAATACTTTTGATTAGACAAAGGGAAATGAAGGGGAGTATGAAACAGTAGAATTAATTGGACATAACTTTCTTATATTCATATATGAATAATGGTATGTATAATTCCACATCATGTATAACCACAAGATGGGTAGTTATGCTCCATGTATGAATGATAAGTCAAAATACATATTGTCTAAAAATTAAAAAGAACAAATTAAAAAATTTAAAAACAGTACTAGCATAATTCAGCAAAACCACTATTAATTTTTTGCCAATATCATTCTGTTCTGATTTAACAGCTTTATAGTATACTTTGAAGTCAAGTAGTGTAATACCTCTTGCTTTGTTCTTTTTGCTTAAGATCATTTTGGTTCTTTGATATCTTTTTAAAATTCCAGTTAGAATTTTTCCCCTAATTCTGTGAAGAATGACATTGAAATTTTGATAAGGATTGCATTGAATCCATAGATCCATTAGGTAATACGGATATTTTAACTGTATTGATTCCTCCAATTCATGACACAAATGCCTTTCAATTTTTTAAATGCCTTTTTAAATTTATTTCATTCATGGTTTACAATTTGCATTGTTAAGATCTTTTACCTTTTTGGTTAAATTTATTCCTAGGTATTTGATTGATTGATTGATATTAATAAATATCACCCCCTACATTGAACTCTATTTAGGTTTTCTTTTCACAATTCAATCTTGGTAAGGCATATGTATCAAGGAATTTGTTCATTTATTATAAGTTATCAATTTCTTTGACATATTTAGAATTCTTATTTTCTCTTGCTGAGCTTACCAATTTATTATTATGTAATGACCTTCTTTGTCTCTTTTTATTGCTTTTGATATAAAGTCTGTGTTGTCTGATTTAAGCATGGTGTTATGGTTTAGATATAAGATGACCCCCAAAAGCTCATGTGTGAGACAATGCGCAGAAAAGTTTAGAGGTGAAATGATTGGCTTATGAGAGCCTTAACCTAGTCAGTGCATTAATTCCCTAATAGAGATTAACTGGGTGATAACTCTATGCAGACAGACTATGGCTAGAGGTGGTGGGTTTGTAGATTTTCTGGGTACTATACTTTCAGTTGGCAATTTTTTCCCTTTAGTCCTATGAAAATCTCATGCCACTTCCTCCTGACTAGTTAAGTTTCTAATGAGATGTCTGCTGTAATACCCTTATGGGTTATTTTTGTTGTTGTTGTTTTCTCTTAATGCTTTGAGAACCTTCTCTTTGTGTTTTAGTGTAAAGTCTCGATTGTAGTATGTCTGGATGTAGACTTGGTTGAGTTGAACCTGATAGGGACCTTTGCCCTTCCTGTACCTAATTTTTGTATCCTTCTCTAAGTATGAGAAGTTTTTTTTTTTTTTTTCTTATCTCTTTGAATAAGCTTTCTACCCCTTTGGCATTCTCTAGTCCCCTTTGAAACCCAATAATCTGACTGATGCTCTTTTAATTCTGTTCTAAAGTTATCATAGATTTTCTTTATTCCTCTTGTTTCTTTTTTTCTCCTTAATCTCTGTATTTTGAAGTAGCCTGTCTTCAGACTCACTAATTCTTCTGTTTGATCTATCTTACTATTGATGCCTTCTACCATTTTTGTGATTCTACTTAGTATAATTTTCAGCTCAAAGATTTCTGTTTAACTTTTAAAAATTGCTTCCATGTCTCTGTTAAGTTTCTCTGTTAAAGTATTGAATCATTTCTCTGTGTTTACTTGAAACTTTTTGAGTTTATTTAAATAAATGTTTTAATTTCTCCATCTGAGAGTTTGCCCATATTAGTTACTATGTGGTCAGTGTATGGCATGAATTAGGTGAGGTCATGGTTTCTTGAAAGCATTTTATACTTGGTGTATGACATGCACTGGGCATTGAGGGATTAAGTATTCCATTCTTCTTAATCTGGATTTGTATTTGTTTATCTTTCCCCCTCAATTTTTGATTTATTTCTTATTATTTTTCAATAATTTAGACTTGAATATTTAATTACTTTATTTTTTCTTTAAAAGCAAGTTTGTCAAAAGCTATATTTTTTCTAAGCATTAATTTAGTTGTATACCTTAAGACTTTGAATATAGTAGCTTCATTATTATTTTCTCTAAACTGTTTAAAATTATAATGATTATTATATATTTGCTTTAAGAATAATTCTTCAAAGTTTTTTTAAATTTCCAAAATTATTTGTTTTATTATCCAGGCTTTATATTATTTATATTTATTACAATGTGGTCTGACTGTTTGCACCTACTTGAAATATTTCCATGCTATAACTGGAAAGTTCATGAGTGCCTTATCTTTTTTTCTTCATATTTTTTAAAACCAGAACATTAACTGTATGGCTAATTGTTGAATCTCTCAAGAGTAACAGATGCTACAACAGCTGCCCTCTTGAGTTTAGATTTGTTCCTTCATGGAATCTGTGCTGGAATCTGCAACACACAATTTTTAGGTGCCTCCTTAGAGCAATCCTGCGCTTTGACTAAACTTGCTCTTGAACTTGGCAGGGCAGCCACAACTTGCTAGAGGTCATCTCCTGAAGGTGGCAGGCCCTAGAGCCGGGGCAGCCAGCCGGCATGTGCATTTTATACAGCCTTTCCATCTCCCTTTTCTACCATGGAGACTAAAGAGCAAGTGCCTTATCTGTGCTGCAGATTATATTATTTATCAATATAAAAAGGCATTCTTTAATCCTGAATGATTTTTGTTTTGTTTCTAATTTATCTGATATTAATATTGCTAGTCCTGTTTTTTGTTTTGCTTGTTTCTGCCTGTTCTATCTCATCTCTATTTTCAAATGTTATTTCTTTTTAGTTTAAGGATGGCTCAAGCAAAAATATAAATTAGTTGAATTTTGATGCTTTGTTGTTTCACTCACTTTAATGATATTTATTTTTTAGTTGAAAACTTCATGTTTTTACTGATATTTAATATATTCCCATCATTGCATTTGGTTTTGTGTAAGTGTCCTGATAAATGTGCTCTTACTACTTTTGTTTTCTTTGTTACATTTTGCCTGATCATATTTGTAATGCCTTCCTACTAATTTGAATCTTTGTTTTGTTGCTAACTTCAAGAGTGAAACAGAATCTATGGAATGTTCCTCTTATCTCTCAGTGAGACACTTTTGTAAGCACATGTTTCCTTCCTCCTCCATAGTTTGTTCAAACAATTCATAACGTTGGTTACAGGTTCTCTAATTTTTACAATATGAAGAATTTATTCTTAATATTTACATGAAGCTTTATAAACATACTAACAACTAACTGACAGTAATTCAAAATAAACAGTAAGTTTTGTTGGGCTCATTTCTCATAACTTTATTCTTAATTACTCTTCTGGATGTCTTCCAATTAGTTTTCTTATTTTTATTTATTTATTTAGAAATGTGAGATCTAGCTCAATAATCTATAACTCCAGGAATGTAGGCATGCAACTTTGATGAACCTCTACAGTATTTAGCGTGGCTATGCTCTCTGGCTGTCCACAATCTCCACTGCTCCTCCTTGCCTACACAACAGATTGTACAAATTCTCTCCTCAATCTTCCCAAGCTATTTACAGTTTCAACTATCCAAGTGTTTAAGCCATGCTTCTGTGTTCTTGCATTGGGTGACACTCTGCCTATGCCTTATTTTTCTCCTGGACTTAGGCTTTGGAAGATCGGGTGTGGGAACTCTTGCAGGAAGCAGACAAGACAGCTGAAGAGAACAAGAATCAGAGTCAGGTTTATGACGCCATGGCCCAGACCTTGGGTGAAGCGTGGGCAGCCCTGGTCTCCATGCTTGAAAGAAGACGGGAACTCCTTAGGTTGACCTGTGAATTTTTTGAAAATGCCTTGGAGGTTTGTATTTGAAAATAATTCTCCCTTTTCCACACCAAAGCCAATAAACAACACTCCTGAAAATGTTTTATTTCCACAAATAGACATTGCCATTGGATTTTTAAAAATGGCAGAATAACAAAGGTATATACGTTTAAGAGAATACATTTAAGTTTTTAAATTAAAAAATAAATAAAATATTAAGTAAAGTAAGCACCCTTAGTCTGATGTCATTTTGATTTTATTTCCTCTTTAGAAGATACTAATGCAGTTACCAATCAAACAATTACCATTAATTACAACTAATAGGGTCATTAGGAAAGGCTAGTTTAGGGCATTTTTGTTGACTAAAAGTGGAAGGATAAAATTCTTCTGCTGATTAAAAAAAAACAATCACAGAATGTCTCATAGAACACTTAGCTTATAAAGTTAGCACTTTATAGAGTACTTTTCTAATGCATATATCGTTAGTTTTCTGTAGTTTGAGCTCATTAAAATACAAGGGAAGGAAAAAGTACTGGATCTAAGAAGGTCATTTCCCCTATAATTTTTCTTGAATTCTGTAATATTTTTTTGAGGCTCCAGATTTCAAAATGTGAGCCTCAAAGAACATTATCAAAAGAAGTGTTGTATTTGGTATAAGCCAGTTACTGGAAATTTCACTTTTAACTTCTCTGTCAAGTGGCAGCACATTCGTTCTGATGGGATAGCACTGCTTCATTATGATAAAGCACTAGCTTTGAAAAATATGACATTTTTAAATGGAAAATTCAGAGCTTAAATCCAAAATAATGAAGCAAAGAAGATTAGTAGCAGAACATAAGAATTGAGGTAGACAATCTCATGCATCATGAAGTCGTTTAAAAGCCAAAAGGAGGAGCAAAAACCTTATTGCAACTTCCAAGTTTTGCTCTCCACAATTTTAACACTGAAGTCCAACTCCAAGTTATTTTACAGATGTTCTTGGGTAAAAGTTCCACACAATCATCTTTTCTGAAAATAAATAAACTAGCTGAAATACACCTACAGAAGCCAAATTACAGATGTAGCTGATTCATTCTGTCCTAGTAAGGGGTGTACAGGTGTCAACTGCCTCCAAACTCAGCTCCTCTGAGTACAGGAAATGATTTCTCTAACATTAGGCTCAATATTTGCTTCTCTCTGTGTTTTAGTGTTAATGCTAGCTAATTTTCTCCATGATGTGGAAATTACTTCCAGATTCCACATGGAGTCAAAGGAAATATTAAGTCAAACCATTTCAACCCAGCATTTCTTATTCTTTTACTTGAGTGAGCATTTATTGGATCTAGTGAAATGACTAAATGTTTCTGTATTATCCTAAATCCAATTTTTGGACCAGCTCCTGTATACTGTTCAGGCTCCTTTTGTATACCAAGCAATTTTCATCAGTAATACAAAAGAAGAGGGTGAAATTAATATCAAGCTCTTTGAAAAGTGTCCTCTTGTTGCCACTTCTGCCCTGAACAAGCTGTAGAAAGAGGGAAAGTATAACTTTTTGGTGGAGAAAAGAAAATATCCATAAGTTAATAGAACATCAAGGCAAAATTTTCAAGTATTATTTGCTTATTGGTTAATTTTTTAAAAATTTGAATAAGCATTAAAAGTACAGAGATAAGTTATACAGTGACTTTAAAACTTATCATAATGTTCTATGAGGGAAAAAAAACAAATCACCTGTGATGGTCATTCATTTTTTCTCTTTGAAGATTATTTTCAGTATTTCTCACAAAGGTGTCCCTTTGGTGTATACCTGTTCAGGCTACTTCCTGTAGAAATATATATTTTGTTGTATACTAACAAGGGGATTAGACTAAAACTTGTATTTTTCATTTCTAAGTTTAATCATTGTGGGGGGGACTATATTTAAGCCTTCTCTGAGTTTTTTTAAGTTAAATTTACTCATAATTTCATAATTACTGGCTAGCCAAGCTTTTGTTGGTTTTTCTTTGCAAACTTTCTGCTGATTCTTTCAGACACTTCCTTAGAATGTTGAAAGTGATTGAATTTATTACATAGGATACAATAATTTTGGTTGAAAAAAATGAATAGATTTCTGAACAGTAAATAAGTTGGTCTATTTCAACATACAGGGAATATTTCTTGATATAAGAGAGATCTAAAGGAAGGAGAGGGACCTTGACACTTTGTAAACATGCAAACACCCACTCACAAAAACAACCCAAACCAGCACACACTCACACATACCATTACAGAAACACATGGGCCAGCTAGGCCGTTAATTCATCAAATCACCCACAGATAACAATAAGCATCATTTTGATTTTGATTGATTTCTTATATCTTCCTTTATGTTTGTGTTGTAGTTTGCTATTAAAATAGACCAAACTGAAGATTTCCTCCAGAGTCCTCATGAGTTTGAAAGTGCTGAGTCTTTACAATCACTTCTTCAGCTTCATGAACATCACGCCAAAGGCAAGAGACATGTTTATTCTTCACATAAACTTTTAAAATTCTCCAAAGATGTTAATAATATAGATGCTTATGTACAACAGCATGCTTTAACTCATCTTATTATGTAGACCCCCAACTTGTTCCCAAAAAAGGATAAGTAAAGCTTTATTTTTGGTTACCTTCTGAAAGCAAGCACTAAGTGTAAATGATTCTAAGAGAATGCAGAGGAAGAGCCTCTGGAAGATTCCTTACCTGGTCTTCTAGTTTTAATTCTTGAGGAAAGAGGCCGTTTTCACCTTGTTCATCATTTTATCCTTGCATCTAGCAATGTGGATGGTGGGTCCTAAATACTTGTTGGTTAAATTCAGTGAATATTCCTTTTAAGTGCTAATAAATGAAGGCCAGTCTTTTAAATAGCCACTTTGAATAAAGAAAATTCCTCTCTCATTATTGCAGAAAAAAAGTAGTGAGCTTCTTCCAAATACAAGTAATAAAGCATTACACAAAAAGATTTCCAATTTCCTCTGCACAGCTCTGAAGACAGTCTAATTGTTACATCAATTTGTATGCCAGGCCTCTCCTCTAACCCTCCACTGCCAAATTTGGGAATGGCCAGTACTAGAACAAGGAAGGTATTTGTGGAAGAGTAGTTATTTGCTATCATCTTTGGGGAAGTAGGGTAGATAAATACATAGGGAAAGTCACTTCTGCCTAATGTGTCTTCTAATTAAAACTAAGTATGAATGAAATGACTTTTAGCTCCACAAATTTGATGATGTTAGAGAAGAATAAAGAACATTTTCAAATCCACAAACATGTATTGTGTTTATATTCATTCTCCAAAGGACCTAGATCATTATGATTAATAATTTACCATAACTTTTCCCAAACCCAAAGACTAAAGAATTCAATATTTCCTGTGTAAATTCTTATGCGAACCTATGAAATATATACATGCAATTTTAACTGATTATTATTCTGTACAACCTATCACTAACAAGAATCATAAACATCAAAAGATTCAGCACTAAAGCAGTGGCTATCCATTATTTACATGGCAGCCACAATTTAGCTGGCCACCCCACAGGGGGTGAGCAGAATCACATGACATTCTTTCTCAGAGACTGGAAAGTGAATTGAGTCTAGTTAACTGAGGTGGGTTCTTGGTCTCAATTCAATCTTTATCCAACCAGCATGATCTTCACACAGCAATTTTACTCCTGGAAATCTGAGAGTGACTGATACTTTTGATGAAAAGGTTCATTACTGAAGCAATAAAATGAAGTTTTCCAGAGGGATGGGGGCTTATGGAAGTAGAAAATTTCCCAGAAACATTGAGAGGTGGAGCTGGAAGGTGGTGAAGTAGTCTAAACATTGTATGCTTGCTCCTGTTGGCTCCTACAAGGTTGGCAGATGTGCAGCACAGCAAGCCAGTTTACATGGGTGTGCACTGCTTGGTTGGAGGCCATAGGCTACACTGCTGGCATCCAGCTGACGGGGGATTGCTTTTCAGGGGCATTGCGTTTCAGAGTCCACCTGGCCTTCTCTTAGTCTGAAAAGATGGATAAAAATGCTAGCTGAAGACAGGAAACTTGCTTTATTTTTGTGACAACAAAATATTCTTCCATCCTGATGAGATGCTTACTAGAACCCTTTTGTGCCCCTTTTTGTGATACTAGAAGCCCAAGGATTACATAGGGGCTGGTCAAGATACCTGGTTCTAATTCATATGCCTCATGATGGTTCAAGCACTTTGTTTTCATAGAATGGGAGTTGATTAAACATAATCATCAACTGATTCAGTGGGATATGATTAAGATGAGCTGATTTGAAGTACATATTAATGGATGAAACTCCAGTTTGTAGTTAAGGGCTTCATATCTGTTATCTTTAAATTTAAGGAAATGAAGTATAAGTATAGTTGTAATACATCTCTGATATGTCCATCAGTTGAGTAGTACAGAGAATGTTGGGATGGCAAAAGCTAACACTGTAACTGAGAACCATGATCTAACTTACTCCTCTTAGTCGGCTCACTTCAGTTAGCTTCTCCTGTGCCTTTCTGTAATTGAGCAATGCTCAGGCTGCATTGTTTGTGAGAAGCTTATCCTGTAACATTGCAGAGGTCAGAACTGCAGGAACAAGTTGAAGTTTCTGCCCTCTGGAATGTTACAGAATAAGCCTGTTCCTCCACAAGACAGTCCTTAAAATAGTTGAAAACTAACATATCTTCTCTTGTCTTCTCTCCTTTGGGCTACACAAGCCTAGTTAGTTAAAGTTTTTTTCCAGCAAGCATAGTTTCCATGATAAACCTGGCTACCAACCTGGTCATCCTCAGTTCAACCACACATACTTAAACAGTGTTTTCCAAGCCTGGAGCTGGTGAGAAACCTAGAGCCATGTGTCTGGAGAGTGCACAGACTTTGGCCTCAGGAAGCCAGTGGTTTAGCAGGGCAGGTACCTGCTTGTCACACTCTTCTATGCTTCCTCTGAGTGTCTCTTGTACACCACCCTGCTCACTGTGCAGTAATAACTTATTTCCTTACTTATATTTATCACCAGATTGGGAGAGCCTGGGTGGCAGGGATTCGAGCATCTCTGCACCTCCTAAACTTAAGATAGCTTCCAACCCAAAGTGTATTTCTCATTGAATGTTTCTTATATTTAATTCCAATGGAAGGCATGGCAGAATGATGAAAAAGTAAGCAATAAACAAGGTACTATAGGGATGTTCAGGAGGAGAATAGTTACTTTAATTTTGATCACAGCTGTACCCTCTACCTGTTTAATGTCCTTCTTAAAATGAACAAAATTCCTACAGATCTGTAAGGCAGGGAGAATCTTATTATTCCATTGTCATAGATTTTAAATAGATATAGTCTCATGGGGGCCCATTGTTACACTGCTATCTTTACTTTTGAATACATTTCAAAATGCTCATTAAGTAAGTTTAAGAAAAAAAAAACATCTTCTTGAGAAAGATTTCAGAATATTTTAAAATTTATTGGGAAGAAATATCATCTGTGGTCTCAGTGACCTTGATGACTGTGGCCTTGATACTTTTTTGAAAGCACTAATTTGGGCAAGATTTTAATAACTATTAAGCCCACCTAATTTGTTGACCTCCTTCACTAATTTAAATGGATTATTTATACCTAATAATTATGGCAAACCATATAGATACTAGTATAAAATGTACTTTAGTATCACTTTTTTGGAGGGAGTACTGAAGATTGAACTCAGAGGCACTTGACTACTGAGCTACATCCCCAGCCCTTTGTATTTTATTTAGAGATAGTGTCTCAGTGAGTTGCTTAGCACCTTGCTGCTGCTGAGGCTGGCCTTAAGCCCATTATTCTCCTGCCTCTGCCTCCCAAGCCAGTGGGATCAGTATCACTTTTTTAATATGACAAAATTAATCTAACCAATTAAGCAATGAAAATTTTACTGAATGTTTACCAACTTCACATCATAAGGAAAGTAGGGTTTTTATTTATTTATTTAATTTAATTTTGTGTGCTGGGGATTAAACCCAGTGGTGCTTAACTACCACTTTTTATTTTTTATTTTGAGGTATGGTCTCTCTAAGTTGCTTAGAGCCATACTAAGTTGCTGGGGCTGGTTATGAACTTGCAATCCTCCTGCCTCAGCCTCTGTAACCCCTTGTCTCTGGGATTACAGGCATGTGCCACTGAGACCAGCTATTAGGGTTTTATATATGCAGAAATGTGTAATCTTTCCAATAAACAAACTGTAGAGCTTTTGTATTCTTGAAGGTCACCATATAGCTAGATGGTTTACAGTGAAGAAAAATATGTCATTTGGTATGACCAACTACCTGATGGAATAAATAACTAGATAAATGTAGACTGTAAAAAATGTGAGTATGAGGAACTGACAGATGAAGGCCAAGGGAACTGGCAGAGGGAACTGAGGGAGGAATTGGTCCATTTAGGTGACCAGCAGGTAGCCAGTAATAGGCTGACGCAGCCTCAAATTACCTTTGGCTCTGGCGGATGCATGCCTAGAGCAATGTGGTCATGGTTATACTATTTTGACAGAAACCCCGACAGAAAACTAAAAAAAAAAAAAGAATGTAAATTGAAATTTTGGCTAATTATATATATTTTAAAGGGCCAGTTCAGTATGATTTGATCTACTGTCAGTTTGCAATATCCTGAATCCCTAAAGTTGTGCTTCCCTCCCTTATTTGAAAAGTGTAATGTGTAAGATTAGACATATGGATACTTTGTTGCCTAATCATAGTTTCTGTGTGTGCACGCGCACGCCTGTGTATTGCTGTTCAAAATATCATAACAAGCTCTTCAATGCAAAGGAAAAAAATTCTTTTTCCATATACAAAACTAAACTCACTCATCCTGATTATTACATTGATTGCAAAATTATGGATATATAAATTTAAACTCATCAGTTTATATGCACTATAACCTATTTCACCTTCTTTCTCCTGCTGTTTCTTTTACTTCCCCATAACAAACTTGTTTTAGACAATAGGTCTTTTTTTTTTTTTTTTTTTGCACATCCCTTCCCCTGCTGCTATCTTAGTAATGTTTTCTTCTGTGTTACCTTTTCATCATTGTAACCAAAATACCTGAAAAGAACAACTTAGAGGAAGAAAACTTGATTTGGGCTCACAGTTGCAGAGGTCTCATTCCATGGTCCTGAGATGAGGCAGGACATCATGGAGGAAGAGGTGTGGCAGAGGAAAGCTGCTCGCACAGGGCAGCCAGGGATGAGGGGTGAGGGAAGGGAGAGCCAGGGACAAGATATAGTCCCCAAGGGCATTCACCCAGCCTACTGACCTACTTTCTCTAGCCATGAGAAAATTATACATATAATAATACATGTATATGTATATAATTATACCTATACCTATGTATAATTACCACCCAGTATTCAAATGATTAATCCATCAAATAGATTAATCCACTGATGAGGTACAGTCCCCATGATCTAATCATTGCCTAATAGTCTTCTTTCTATAACTTGCTATACTGGGGACCATGCTTCTAAAGCATGAGCTTTTCAGAGAACATTTCAAATCTAACAGCTTCCATTTCTTTGTCCAAGAAAATGAATTTCAATGTTCTCCCTGACTTTTTTAATTTAAATTCTCCTATTCTTCTGTTATAGTTCAAATCCTTAGTGTTTCATTTGTTTCTTTGTATTGGTGACTCCCAAATTACCCAGGGCACATAATCACACCCTTCTTGCTTGGAGATATTATTATATTAGTAAGCTCTAGTACTATTATCTAATATTTTAATAGACAGATGTTACTTAAACCTACAATGTAATTTATTTCAAAGATCACAAACTTATAGCCCATTTGACAGGTAAATATGCTTTATCTTGTGGGGAGTTTTAATTAAAAATATACAAAGTATAAAACATTAAAAATCAGAAGCTTTTCCATACAAATCTATAGTTATAACTCTTTAAAAAATTGGAAGCCCTATTAGCACTGCAACCACTTTCTCTCATGTCAACAGTTGGCTAGAACTGAGTGAAAACTGACCCCATTAGACTGAGCGAGTTTTTCCACCTTGTCATAGTCTCTGACATTGAAACAGCTGGCTATAACCTTCACTGGGTGTTTGGCCATGACAGGTATTACCTTTTAACCTCATATTTAGTTCAACAAGCTCAGAATACAGAATAGTCCAGGGAGGGTTGGCACCATAACCAGTATCACACCACTAAAACAGTGAACCATATCAAAATTCCACCATCCTTCCGTGGCCTACACTGAATCATGCTAATGCTCAACTTTAGCATCTAACATCCGACAGTTAGGGCTGTAGCAATGGTTAGGCCAGGGTGTTTGACTATTTCAAGTTTGTAAGCAGTTTATGTTTACACATTTAAATTCCTTGCAGTGTGGCTTGTTATTACTATTAAAGCTATATGCATTTAAAATTATGTGAAGAATCCAAATATTACTACATAAAAGCTTGCTTATGTCATTATCTCGTTTTCTTTTTAATTTTCTTCTAGAACTCTTATCACGATCTCTAGCCCTTTTAAACAAAAGCCAGCAACTCACTGACTTCATAGAGAAATTCAAGTGTGATGGACCTACTGTGAGTTCCGAGTTGATCCACGGAGCTCAGAGCAGCTGTCTGAAGATTGACAGCCTTCTTGAACTTCTACAAGACAGGAGAAGGCAGCTAGACAAATACCTGCAGCAGCAGCGGCAAGAGTTGGGTCAGGTTCTGCAGATATGTCTGTGGGACCAACAAGAAAACCAGGTAACACAATGGGCACTGGCTGATATCCTGCCTCTGCTAACTGGTCATATGTGGATCAGCCATACCCTGGGGCAGTGTCTCCGTTGTTATAGTCAAATTCTTTTATTTTTGATCCAAAAGGCTTTCTTCCAAACTACCATGTTGTTTTTCCAAGTAAATATGAATACAAAAGAAACAATTTTTATGTACTGTCATTATAATATTGATTTTGTGAATGGGAAAACACTTACAGACAGTTTGAAAATGACTGTGTTTTACTGTTGGGTTCTCTTTCTCACTTCTTTCCAGGTCACTACTGCCAAGAACAATTTTTTTTTGCAGTCCTGAAATGTTAATAGTACTTTTCTAAAAAGTTGGAGAAACATGAGTGTGCTGCTGAATTGTGCTAGATTGCTGTGATTATTATTTTAAAAAGTCTGTAACCTCAAAATAGAAGAATGGTCTGATGTCAGTAAAGAAATCTGACCTTGGCCAATGGCTGAATGCTCAGTGGTGAGAGGGCCTGGGAGGTGTGTAGGCTCTTTAGAACTCACTACCCAGGCTGCAGGCAAAACTCTGATCAGCCATTGATATGTTTATGAGGTATTCCTTTCATCTCAGTCATTTGAGGGTAAGTGTGGACAGAATTCTCTTTGCAAACCCCCAACTGATATAGATGGTATATTTATTGCAACATTTCTGATGGTCTCAATTCTGTGCTCAAATCTATGAATATTAAGGGGAAAGAATTAAGAGAAAGGATACAGAGAGAGATCTTCTGGTTTGGATGCACAGGAAAGGGGTCTTTTTTACATGTTTTATTTTTCTTTGACACAAATTGGAAAGACAGACCTATAACTGGAAGCAAATACTTGTTCTTATTTCAAGCTGGAAAAATGGGACCTTAGATGATGACTAACATTTCAACTAATAATTATTGAGTACCTGCTGTATGCCAGGACCTATTATAAATACTGGAGACACACTAGACACAAGGCATTTTCCTCTATAAATTTTCCTCCTAATGTATTTCCCAACTTTAGCATTATTGACAGTTGGTACCAGGTAATCCCTTGCTGTGAGGGTCTGTTCTGTGCACTCTAGGACATTAACCCTGACCTCTACTAACTAGCCACTTGTGAAACATCCCTCAGTTATGACAACCACAAATGTCGCCACATTGCCAGTTGTCTCCCAGGGGGCAAAACTATCCTCAGTTAAGAACTGTCATTCAAATGTGATGAGAAAATCATGAAATATATAAGTGAAGTAAAAAGTGCTTTTAAAAAAACCAAATAGGACAATGAATTTGGACATGCATTGCTCTGCTATTAGATAACCCTCTCCCAGGAGGTGGAATACAGCAGAGGCAGATGTCCACCCTCCAGTCATAGACTCTGCCACATTGCATTTTCTTCCTAAGCTACTTCTGCCTTGGCCAACCAGCTCCTGTCCTGATTTTTGCTGTGCATTACCTGCCCACCCCACCTGCCTCCGATTCAGTTCTTGTGGCCCTTCACCTGTTGTTACTCAGAGTACTGTCGTCCAATGCAATAGTCTTTTACTGATGATTTTGGCATAACAAAGAAAATCAATTCCTGGGACAAGAATCAATATGAAATTGTCAGACAACTATTTCTAAATTTCCTTGTCCTCCCTCTCTTAAGTGGGCTGTCTTTCAACCTCTCCTAACCCCTACCCACCACCATGTTCCCAGAGCTTTTTAATCCTCAATCTCACTGATTCAAATTAACAGAGACTTTCTCTCTCCAAAGGAAAGTCTCATCCAAGAGGTTTCCCAATGCAGAAACATCTACAGTAAGTTTTATTTATTCATAAGATAGCGATTTTTGCCTTCCTGCTTCATGACTGTGGCAATTATCACTCACTTGGATCCTCTGCAGTTAAAGAAAAAGAAAGAAAAGCAAAGAAATCACATGAAAATTCAGGATGAATTTTCAAATTCAAATTCTAAATGAACATTCTAACCCAGTGAAATGTTGAAGGGAAATCTGGATCTCTGCCAACCTTAGAAAACTTAAAGATGTCTCATATTAACTGAAGTGAGGTATTGTAGAAGCTTTCTGAATTGGTGAATTCTCTAATTTATCAGTCTTCAGCTTTCCTTTTCATTTTTTTATTTAAAGGGGGGGTGATTTTTAGGGTGTAGTGGTAAAATAGATTTTATTTCACAGCAAAATTGAGCAGAAGATAGAAGTTTCCCATGCACTCAGCCCCACAGCCTCCCACGTTATCAGCATCTCCTACCAGGGGTCACATTTGTTACAATTCATATATTCCCATTAACACATTTTTTTTTTATTCCCCAGAGTCCATCATTGATATTAGGATCACTCTTGATGGTGTACATCTCTAGGTTTGGACAAATGCATAGTGACATGTATCCACCATTGCAGGATCATGCAGAATCACTTAATTGCCCTCAAAAATCCTCTATTTATCCTTCTCTACACAATTGCTGGCAACCCCTGATCTTTGTAATGCTACAATAGTTTGCCTAATATCATATAGTTGGAATCACACAGTATGTAGCCTTCCTTAGATTTACTTTTGTACTAAGTAAATGCAATTAAGTTTTCTGTGTCTTCTCATGGCTTGACAGCTTACATCTGTATAGGGCTGAATAATATTCCCTTATCTGGATGTACTGCAGTTTATTCCTCTTTTCACTTACTGAGATTTTATCCAAGTTTGGGCAAGTATGTATGAAGCTCTGTAAGCATCCATGAGCAGGTTTTGGTGTAAATATAAGTTTTCCATTAATTTGAGCAAATACCAAAGGGTGGTACTGACGGATAGTATGCTAAGAATGTGTTTTAACTGTCTTCCAAAATAGCTAGACTCTCCTCCTTCTCACCAGCAATGAATGAGATTTCTTGTTGTTTGACATCTTTACTGGGACTTGATGTTATCACTGTTTCAGATCTTGGCTATTCTAATAGGTGTAAAGTAGTATTTTGTAGTCATTTTTAATGGGCCTCATTTTAAAATTGGAAATAGTACTCCACTCACAAGGTTGCTCTAAAGATTAAATGAAATAACATGTGTAAAATATACTGCTTACCATTTTAAGAGAAATTTAAGAAATACCAGTTTCCTCACCCTCACTCTCCTTGGTTAAACCTCACAACTAACAGATTCTCTCATCTAGCCCAAGTTCTTTCTCCTGGGTTTAGCATTAATGATGTTATACATATTGAGGTTTCTTAATGCCCTTAATTGTTGGATGCTTTTATGGATATAGTAAAGGCTTAAAAAATGAATATTTGTGGTTATGAGAACGAGACTGATCTACCTACCTATCTTCCTTTCTCTCTCTCTCTCTCTTTTTGCTGTTATTATTTTTGTGATGCTGGGATTGACTCTAGGGCCTCACTCATACTAAGCAAACATTCTGCCACTGAGCTACTTCCCCTATGCTTCTAAAATTTTGAGACAAATAAGTTGTTAGGCTGAACTTGAGATCCTCTTGCCTCAGCTCCCAAGTAGCTGGGATTACAGGTGTGTGCCACTGTGCCCAGCAAGAATGGGGTTTTCTTTTAGACTCCATTCCTAATAGTCCTTGAACCAGAACTAATTTAATTATAGTAATAAGAATAAATACCATGCTTCATATGACCCATTAATAAATAATACAGTCATTTCCTTAAATATAAAATTTAGGCTCTTAATCTTAAAATGATCCCTATTAACACATCCTCTCAATAATAGCAATGACAGCAACTGGAATAATTAATAACAACTGTTGTTTCTTTGTGCTTGTTAACAGCAACAATCCTGAGGCAGCCTGTTGGCTGGGTTTAAATCACCGCTTCACTACTTATCAAGTGAGTAACTGAGCATTTATTTAAATTGCCTGAGGCTCAGTTTTCTCTAAAAATGTGGATAATAATAGGACCTACCTTTAAGGGTTATTAGGATGACCCAAGAGTTATTATATGACAAGTACTTAGGACAGTACCTGGAACACAGAAACTGTGGTATTAGTATTAGGAGTTTTTATCATCATGTCTGAAAAGGATAGTGAAGGGCCAATATGTCATTGTTCTCCTTTTCCTGCTCCCTCCACCGTCATGCTCCAGTAAAGACAGGGCTTGAGTTGAAGGTCAATTTCATTGTTTATTTTGAGTTCCTAGGGTATGATCAAATAAAGGTCACTTTTATAATCTTAGCAGCCATATTTGTTTAATGGGCACTCTAACTTTTGTTAGAAATGTGAGGAGCTTATTATCCATGTAGATGCTTTATTAGGATTTTGGTTTACAGCCACCTTTTAGGCTTTTATCCTAACAGGGGCCTAAACACACAAACACATACACATTTGTTGAAGGAACAAACAAATATACAAAAGTCAACTAAATTTGCCTGTATCTATTCTACTGTAATCTGATTTTTATTCAGTTGAACAAATCATAGACATATTCTTATGTCAAAAGTAGAATAATTTTAACAGATACATTGTATTTTGCTAATTGAATGTAACACAATTTAAGCAACACCTTACTGATGAGTAAGTAAACCCTTCAGTTTTTCAATGTTATAAGCAATAGTCAATGATGACCCTGTTGATAATTATGTAACAAGAAAAACATTAAAAAAAAAGGAGAACGAAAACAATAGATTTTTCTGTCTTAATTGGGATGTGAGAGCCTGGTAAACATAATCATAGCATGTTATTTCTTTATCGTTATGTTTCAGATGTAAAAATGTGCACTCGTTTTACATTGAAAGATGAGCAGCTGCCCTTTCTTTTCAGTTCCTGCAGCATCTTATTTTTCAGATAATCTGCTTCATTAATGAAAATCAGAAGCAGCTTGGAGTATTTTGTGAATAATTAATTATCTTGGCAAGAAGATTTATGAATGTAATTTTTCTCAATTGCTCCAATCAGGCATAAGTGAGCCAAACAAATATATTAAAACTAAGTTATTCATGGCCTGTTTGTATAAGACAGTGTCAAGGACGTCTAGGAGAATTCAGACACAAGGGAGACAATCTTT